AAAGTGGGCCTAGCGACTTTAATTGCGTTTTGTCGAATCAAATAAATCAAAAAGTTGGGTGGAGGTTGTCTGTTCCCTGTTGGGCTTCAAATCCTTAATCTGTAAAGTTGTTGTGGGACGAGAGTACTTGTCTCTATGCATTATGGATCTCCAGCCTTTTCATTTGTTTGGTAGTGAGTCAAGTGAGAAAACAAATGTGAATTTGTTCTCATAATCACATTTTTTTAATTTTTGTCAAATATTTTTAATTATCATTTATATAATATATTGAATTTTTTCTTAAAATTTATATTTAAAAAATTAAATTAAAACAACTAATTAACTGAGGGAGTAGTAACAGATATGTCATGACCAAGAGAGAATTGACTCCGTGACTAAGTCAATAGATAATATAAATTTTTTAAAGTAATGATGAGTTTAAAATATTTTAGATTACCTAACATCTGTCCTTAACAGTTAACACAATTAATGAACCATTTTAAGTCACGTGGTAGAACAACCCAATCATTTTCGGATATGAAAACAGGAGTAAATAGCTATTCCTTTTCAAATTGTCTAAATAATAACATGGGCAACACCAGGGGCACTCGCCAATTGCACGCTCCAACCAACACTTCAATTTTCATTTGGCCATGTTATTTCGATTTTAAGAGGTGGATTTTATAGCCTAAAAGTAAGCTTCTGCGACCTAATGAAAAGGCATGTGTTGGTAGGAGAGTGCAGGAGGTGAGTGTCCCTATCGCTGCTCTAATAATATTAATAAAGTTGAAAAAGCAATTGTACCTGCCAGAAAAGACTCCCTGGTACAAACATTGAATGCAAACAACGTAGGATCCAGCCTGTAAGATAATGACATTAAACCTTATCGGCATGATATTAAGGATAATGATAAAAGAAATGATTTTATGAAATGAAATTAGAGAACCACAGCTGTGGTAAAGTCAAAGTCTAAATTACAAAATAAATAATTTAATCATGTCACATCTATATCTTTCATTTTCATTTCATAAAATTATCTTCTCTATCACTATCTTAATATTAATATAATTTTTTTAGTTCAGAACGCTAGTCTCTCGCTCTCGCCCCTGTCAACGATCCATTTTAATAAACAAATTTTATTTTAAACTCCTGAACTAATTCTACTTTGACACATGCCTTTGGACAAAAATTTAGCCGGATAGCCCTTCGACCATGTGATAATCTAATAATACAAGAAACGAGAAGCTAAGCGTAAAAAAAAAAAAA